TTAGTATGACAGATAAAACAGGTTATTACAAGGCTTTAAAAGAAAATTTTGATCATCATAAAAAAGGGGGAGATTGTTGAACATACAAGGACTTGATGTTAAACTTACATGGACATGAAGCTTGTTGATTTTGATGATGATTCAAGAACAAAGAACTTAGAGAGTTGAAGACTTGTTTTATTGTGTAATAACTCTGTTTTGACTAGTTTGAGTCTGTAATATTAGAGTCTAAGATAGCCGGTACATAGTCTGCACTTTAGAAGCTTCAAAAACTCACATTTATCAGTTTGCCTCGGCTTTAATCGATTAAATGGTCAGATAATCGATTATTACAGTGAGAAAAACCATTTTCTGTATCTGTTCACTGTAATAATCGATTAACACACCTGTTAATCGATTAACAGGCCTGTTAATCGATTAACAGGGCTTTTAATCGATTAAAACAGAGATTTTTGGGGTTGTGTTGATTTTGGCTCTGTAATAATCAATTAACACTTCATTTAATCGATTATTTCAGTCAGATTTTGATTTTCAACTTCAAATTAAACCTATTTTTGAAAACCCTAATCCCAATACTCTCTAGTTCCGAAAATCCCAATTTCCAAACCCTAATTTCTCTACTTAAGGTTCTCTAAGGCTCTCAGAAAATAGAACAACCTTTTTCAAACAAAAGTTAAGTGTTGTGAGTGCCAGAGAACTGTTTGTTGGAGGAAAAAGGGGCTTTTGGAACCTGGTGTGGGCTAGAAGCGATAAGAATCACTAAGTGGAGTTCTTAGTGGATTCTGTGTTGTGCCGTCTCTGGGAAAGCTGTTCTTCATCTCTTGTGGATTTCAAGAGAGGTGTTTTCTTTACTTTGTATTTTCAATTATTATCTATTTGTAACAACTTTGATTATAGTGACAGCGTTAATCCTCTGTTTGAGTGATTAGCAACTGGACGTAGGGTCTTTTGATCCGAACCAGTATAAATCTCCTGTGTAAGACTCTATCTCTATTCTATTTACGTTTACACAGCATTTTAATCAGTAAAATTTGGGGAAAATTTTTAAAACCTAATTTTTGTTAAGAAACCAATTCCCCCCCCCTCTTGGTTTTTGTCCGTCCACGTGAACATTCCGCTGCGCGATTCTAACACAAGTTTCTCATCAAGGTAGTGAGACAACATTAAGAAGATCTACAAGAATCAAAAGAGCAATTATTTCTAGTGACTATGAAGTGTATTTATTAGAATCGGATTATAACATTGGAATAGAAAATGATCCTGAAACATTTTCACAAACCATGAATTCTACAGAATCGAATTTGTGGTATGATGTTATGGAAGATGAGATGAATTTTATGGCATCTAATCAAGTCTGGGATCTTGTGAAGTTACCTAATGGTGTAAAATCCATTGGATGTAGATGGGTCTTTAAAATTAAGAAAGACTCAAAAGGTAACATTGAGAGACATAAAGCAAGACTTGTTGTCGAAGGGTTCACTCAAAGAGAAGGAATCGATTATAAAGAGACATTTTCTCTTGTATCTAAAAAGTATTCCTTAGGGGTAATAATGATATTAGTAGATCATTTTGATTTTGAGTTACATCAAATAGATGTGAAAACAACCTTCCTTAATGGTGATATAGAAGAAGAGGTCTATATGAAACAACCTAAATGATTCTTCTCTAGTGATGGTGAGCACTAAGTATGTAAGCTTAATAAACTATCTATAGATTAAAACAAGTTTCACGTCAATGGTATTTAAAATTTCATGAAGTTATTTCTTCATTTGGTTTTGAGGAAAACATTATGGATCAATATATATACTAGAAGGTTAGTAAGAGTAAAATTTACTTTCTTGTTTTATATGTGGATGACATTTTGCTTGCAACTAATGACAAGGGAATGCTATATGAGGTGAAACAGTTTCTCTCAAAGAAATTTGATATGAAAGATATGGGAGAGACATCTTATGTCATAGGCATTAAGATTCATAGACAAAGATCTCAAGGTGTTTTGAGTTTATCTCAAAAGGCCTATATCAACAAGGTTTTAGAGAGGTTTACCATGAAATATTGTTCATCGAGTGTGACTCTCATTGTGAAGGGTAATAAGCTTGAATTGGGTCAGTATCCGAAAAATGATTTTGAGCGGGAACACATGAAGAATGTCCCATATGCTTCAACTATTGGAAGTCTTATGTATGCTCAGGTCTACACTATACTAGACATTGCATTTGTAATTGGAGTTTTGGGAAGATATCAGAGTAATCCAGGTGTTGACAACTAGAAAGCTGCAAAGAAAGTGATGAGATACCTTCAAGGAATAAAATATTTCAGCTTATATACAGGCCGACTAATAATTTGGAGGTAATAGGCTACTTTGATTCAGACTTTGTTTGTTGCATTGATACCAGAAAATCTACATTTGGTTATATTTTTATGCTAGCTTGTGGTGTTGTATCTTAGAGCAACAAAAAGTAAATCTTGACTACTACTTCCACTATGGAGGCTGAATTTGTTTCTTGTTATGAAGTTACTTCACATAGTGTATGGTTGAAGAGTTTTATATTTGAGTTTAGAGTTGTGGACTCAATTGCTAGGTAATTGAAGTTATATTGTGACAATTCTGTTGTAATATTTATGGCTAAGAATAATAAGAGTAGAAGTCAAAGTAAGCACATCGACATAAAATATCAAGCCATAAGAGAACATATTAAGAAAAAGAAAGTGGTCATTGAACATGTTAACATTAAATTGATGATTGTTGATCCTTTAACTAAAGACATGTCACTAGAGAATTTTAAGAATCATGTAACAAAAATGAGACTTAATTCCATATTGTGACAAATTGTAATTTTATGATTTCTCATTTATTTGTGCACATATTTGTTTATTTTTGAGAAATATCATTAGTTTGACCTAGAATAAGGTTTATTCATCAATGTAAATAACATTTTATGAGAGACTTAATATATTATGATACATGGACGATAATACTTATTATTAGAGGATCTGTCATCATGATTCATATTTTTAGTTTAAGATTGATAATGGAATAAATAGACAAAGTGGGAGAATGTTACATTTTACATGATCTAGCTGTTATTCAGTCATTTGCGCAAAATATTCTATTTTTAGAATTTCATTATTTAACAGTTTTAAGGTTTTTTTTTTTGCAGTTTAGAACTCTGTAATGGTCAGTCATCTATAAATATTACATATGTTTCAAGATTACAAAATTTGTTATCTTCTTCAATATATCAAATTATCTTTGATTAGAAAGTTAAGGTTTGAAAATTAAGAAGTTAAAGTTTAGTAAATATTTTATGCTTATGCTATATTATCTTTTACAAAAGATAAATAAATTTTCCTAACTTCAAATTGAGTTATATTAAAATTAGTATTTTTTTTTAAATTCAATATATTTAATGTGATTTCATTTAAGACTACTTATGTTACTGATGTTAGAAATAAAAAATATAGTATTTAAGACCAAATTAAAAATACTAGTTTTAATCTAAACTAATTTCAAAGTAGGAAAAACTTATTTAATTAAAAATAAAATCTAATAAAAAAATTCCCACGTCATCGATACCAAATCTCAATTGATTAGTTGGAGTGCAGGTTTAGGTAGCCAAATCCAAATGTGATATGTGAAATGGTAATTTTAATAATAATTTGAAAACACACTAAACTGCTCCACTACCTACCTTAACAGGTTTAGGGTTGTTTTTGTTACCATCTTCATCATCATTCGCGTTATGTAATCACATCTCGCAACATATAAAATTGAAAGAAAAACCCTAATAATCCATCATCATGATAACATTTCAATTTTCATATCATCAAGAATCACAAAAGGAACTTTCTCTTCCACGATGATGGCAATGATAATTTAATTAATTATTAGTTATCATTATCTGCTTCTATTGTTCCTTATTTCAAACCACAGCAAATTGTTCAACTACAGAATCTCATTCTCTTAATCTCTTTTTGCCCAAGTAATCACTATTTCAAAGTCTCATAAAAATTGATTAAAAAAATCTTCTTATCTCTTTAAAAAAAAGTGCAATAAATAACACAAAGACAACTTAAATTGGAGATACTGATATTAAACTCTATTTTTATCACTAAATAACACCACATACTATATGAAATTCCATTTAAGTTTAATGGTTATATATTTTCGGTGTAAGAACCTGTGAATTAATGAAAACTCATCATTGATATAATTTTTAAAATAGCCTAAATATAGTATGTATTATGTATGTAATTAATTAAGTAGTTCAAACCATTGAAGATTAATTTAATCTCAAAATTACGAAGTACTTATCTTTTTAATCTGACTAATTATTTATTATATTTAATTTTGTCTTTACTTTTTAAAATTAATATAATTTTATATTTTCTCTCTATGTTGAATTACCCATATTAGTCTCGGTTATGACAATATCACTAAAAGCTATCATCAAAAGAATTTAAAAAATAAAAAACAAATTTGAATGATTTATTGGTAATAAGATAAAATAAAATAAAATAAATAGAAGAAAAAAAGTAATTGAACCTAAAATTATTTATAAGTATAAAAATATGGACCTGATAATGCAGGGTGGGAAGCCCAAAAAGTAAATTTAAAATACCCGTTTGTGTATTAGTAAAAGAAATTTGGGAGCAGTATTTTAGGAGGAATTTTTTGTCGTGTTTTTCAGGTCCTCTTGTTTTTGCGTTGATCATTGGTTCCACATAGTATCACCGTACCCCGTGGACTTTGAAAATGGAAAATCCAAGCCACTTCGGCGACTAACTCAAACGCTGCATTTTTTTCTTTTCTTTCAGGGAACCATCATCAACGCACAACAACAACGTCAACAAACTTAGTGTTTTTATCATTCTTTTTCTTTTAACAAGCACCCCCATCATGGAATCGTGCACATAACGCCACAGTTTTCCGTTTTCCTTTCTTTTAATTTAATTTAGTTTTATTTTGCGGAATTGGGAGTTGGAGGCGCAATTGAACGATGGGTCTCGTGATGAATCTGCGAGGCTCGAGAACAGAGGGTGCCCAACAAGAAAGCTTACCCCTTTCGGGTCCGGGTGGCAACCCAAAGAGGAAATGGAGTAATCTAATGCCTCTTATTGTGGCCTTTGTGGTCATTGCGGAGATCGCGTTTCTGGGTAAGTTGGATATGGCCAAAAACGCCGCCATGGTTGACACCCTCGCTGACTTGTTCTACCGCTCTCGTACGGTCGTTGAAGGTGACGATTTGGGGTTGGGTGCGGTGACTGGTGATCGGATTTCTGAAGCGGATAGTTGTGAGAAATGGTTGGAGAGGGAAGATGCTGTCACGTATTCGAGGGACTTTTCCAAAGAGCCTGTTTTTGTTTCTGGAGCTGACCAGGTTTGATTAATTCTGATTTTTATTGTCTTCTTTTTGTTATTCCTATTTTTATTAAAAGTATAGTTGTTCACAAGTTATTTTAAGCATCTTCTACTAGAAATTTTTGGGGAGTTCTGGAGCTTTGGGCTTTTAGTTGACTCACTATGTTGGTATTTAGCTCAATACGAGGAGATATTGGTGTAGGAGGAAAGGATGATAGAAAATTGGTTAAAGTAGTTTGAATATGTACATAGAAGCTCATTAGAGCTCCGGTCAGGAGATTGGATTGCATGTTTTTAAGTCTTGTGAATGAGGGGAGGAAGAGACCAAGAAGGATATTGGGGGAAGTGAAAACTGGTCTTTAACCGAGTTTAATGATGTTGAGTGCCATGTAGCTGACTTCACCTAGCGGGAAAAGGCTTTTTGTTGGTGTGGTGGTGGATGTATGTCGTCTACCATGGTCACGGATGTACACATGATGACGTTGTTCTTGAGGGTGGTGTTGAATAATTACTTTGGTTTTGTTATTTTGTCTTTACGTGGGGGATTTGTTTCCTCTCCTGTTAGTTGTTGAAGAACAGGATCCTGCAACTGATTGTGGTTGACCTTTGTTTGGTAAAGTTTGCTATTTCTCTTTTTAACAACACCTTGTCTTGTTATGCAATCGAAATCCCTTTGTGGGCACGTTTGCTCAATGCCGAGAGGTCAAGAAGTAATTGATGAACCTCCTTATAGTTTTCATTATTATTACGAAGTCCTTGTTATTCTTTTTGCCGATCTTAAGTTTTTGGTTAATTCAAATGCAGGAGTGGAAGTCTTGTTCAGTTGGATGCAAATTTGGGTTTACTGGGGATAAGAAACCTGATGCTGCATTTGGGTCACCTCATCCAAGTGGAACAGCTAGTGTTCTGCGATCAATGGAATCAGCAGAATACTATGCTGAGAACAATCTTGCCATGGCAAGACGGTGGGTAAGCACTGTTGTAAAGTGTTATTTAATTAGATTGGACCATTATTTTTCCTTTACGTTGCCTTTTTAGATATCATGGTTTTTCGTTGTTTTTATAGTTACATGGAAATGTCAGTAATACAGAAAAAAAAAATTTCCTGGTTTATGTCATGGGATTGTGGATAATATGTATGCCAACATAACCTGTAGTCTACATAGGTTAATGTGGTACGGATTTTAATTTGCAGCTATGTGTTTTGTCTTCTTTTGTCAAGATGTGTTTATGCATACTTTTCTTTGCATGTGACATCATTGCAATTCTAGCTATTGCCTTTACTTTTGTTCATTAAAATTCTTCTTCTTAAGTGGGCAGAGTGATCCATTCCAATAGTTTTTTTCTTCAAAATGTCAATGATTTTACTAATATTACAATTTTGTGTGTACTAGAAGGGGATATAACATTATAATGACAACCAGTCTATCATCTGATGTTCCTGTGGGATATTTTTCATGGGCTGAGTATGATATGATGGCACCAGTGCAGCCAAAAACTGAAGCTGCTCTAGCAGCTGCATTCATTTCCAATTGTGGTGCTCGAAATTTCCGGTTGCAAGCTCTTGAGGCCCTTGAAAAATCAAATATAAAGATTGATTCTTATGGTGGTTGTCATAGGAACCGTGATGGAAGAGGTACATTATAATGTTTATTTTTTTAGATTTAACTTCAGTACCTATTAGTGATCTTTTTTCCCTATGAATATTATTATAGATGTTTCCAAGTCGGAATTGCAATTGCAGAGTTGACATTGTTTAGTGTTTCTCAAATTTAAATCACGTTTGTTCTACCTTTAAGATGACTTTTGAAACTGCACTCTGTATATTAGTACTTGCCTATTTTGCTCTCAAAAGAGGAAGAAAGCAATTTAATTTAGACGCTAAAAGGCTCTAATGTGATGCAAATGCTTCTGAGTTTCAAGGGATAACATTTGTTTTTGAATGCTTTTCTTATTGGTTTTAGACCTGATAGCTTGGTCTGAGTAATAGTTTTTCTAATTTCAATCATATTTTTAGAAGGGGCAAACTTAGGTACCGAATTTTAGGTGTTTTTAGTGTTCTTCTCTAATTAAAGTTGAAGTTTGATCTCCGTAGCTCATAACATAAAGATTGGCATTAATGATCAACAATGGCTACTGAAATAAAAGTCTTATTTTAATTAGAGAATAGGTTAAATATGTTTTCATCCCTTTAAACTTTTCAAAATTTGGTTTTAGTTCCTCTAGAAAATTGTCTATTTTTCATTCCTTTAATTTTGAAATGCATCACCTTTGGTCTCAAAGCATTATCTAATGCATATAAAGTACGATCTAATAGTGCTTATACTGCACTATCTACACCACTTTGAGGACCAAAAATAGTGCATTTTAAAATTAGAGGGATGAAAAATGAAAAAAAAAATAGAGGAAATAAAGTAAAACTTAAAAAAATTTAAAGGTAGATTTCAAGGATTATATTTTATTTTTGGAATTTTATTTTTTTCACTTAGAGTCCTTTAAAAGACTCTTGCTCTAAACATGAATTCTCTACCCTCCCTCCCAATTCTCTCGTTTCTCCCTTTTGTTCCTTCTTGTGGACTCTGAAGACTAATTTTTTTTAATGAATTTTCCTTAGAAAGGACAGAGGAGTGTGGAACATGGAAGTGTTCTATCTTTTTCTTCATTTTATTTTTTTGAAATGAATTTAGAATGAATTGGGTTTTAGTTTGCTGCACGCTATCAGGAAGGAAAGCACAAAATTGTCCTTGCAGGTTGTTATGTCATTGGACATAAACAAGCTAGATTCACAACTCAACATTAAGTGTCTCAGATTGATTTATGACTAATTGATTTTAAAATTTGGAAAATTATTCCTCTGCTTAACTCAATGACTTCCAAAGTTTCAAAGATTATTTGATGCTGTTGATATTTTCTATTGAATACAATTGTGGTTATTATTTTATTTTATTGCAGTGAACAAAGTGGAAGCTCTGAAGCACTACAAATTTAGCTTAGCATTTGAAAATTCTAATGAGGAAGATTATGTAACTGAAAAATTCTTCCAATCCCTTGTTGCTGGTATGGATATATATTTTATTCTCATTATCTTGTATTTACTTTCTATACAACATTATTAATGTAACACGAGTTGGTCACGGGCTACACAAACATTTTAGTTTGGCTCTTACATCCAATCTGATTTTCTTTTACATCTAAGATTTTCTGGTGAATTAGAATTGAATGTTCAATTTTAATTAAGTTTAGCAAAATTAAGGATGATAAAATATTGACAATTAAATTTAGGAAAATATTTATTGAAAATAAAATTTAGACAACAAAACTTTGTTCCTTTGGTTTTGTGGTGAATTTTTGAGATATATGTATCTGAAAAAGATAAATTAACGCTATAGTGATAATTGTATACTATATAACATATGCTGTCAATTTTTTGATGTTCAAATAATGAAATTCTTAATTTATTGATAAATCATCTTAATTCTGGCATAATGCTCTTTGAATTCTTGACACTTGGATATGATCTACTCTCAGTGGCTTGATTCATTACTTCAAATTAATTGACAACTATGATGTACTTCTATTTGCTTAACGTATCCAATACATATTTAGTTCCAATACTCTTTTATAGACTGATACATAGTGTTCAAGGTACACGTGGTATGAGGGCACTGTTGGCATATATTCAAGAAATTATACTGCGAATGAACTGGATAGTTCTAATAATTTCCTGGACAACTTTTTCTCTGACACATGATAATATATTAGTTTGCAATCAAGTTATTTTCTTGTATTCTGGGATGCTTCAACATGGATGTCATCTGTAGAAGAGAAAAATGCATTTCCATATAAACTTTACGGAAAACTTTCATAATGGGGTCTGGATTTTAACACTCGAAATATCAGAAGAACCCATTTATAATGCTGTTTCTCGGTATTAATTTCTTTTACTGTAGGAACTGTCCCTGTGGTTGTTGGTGCTCCAAATATTCAGGAATTTGCTCCATCTCCTGGTTCAATTTTACATATTAAAGTGATAGAAGATGTTGAGTCAGTTGCAAAGACCATGAAATACCTAGCAGAGAATCCCGAAGCATATAATCAATCATTGAGGTAAATTAAATGCTGAGAAGAAGAAATTGCTTGAGTCACTTCCCTTTTCACACCAAAATTGGATTATATTTTTACTAATAAATCTTGGCAGTTTGATGTTTTCTGTTTCTTGAATTTATCTGTTTTAAAATATCAATGGATTTTTTGTTATTCTTCTTTATTTTATGATCACTATGATGCATCCTCTATTATCTTATCAATATAGGTGGAAGTATGAGGGTCCATCTGATTCCTTCAAGGCTCTTGTGGATATGGCAGCTGTACATTCATCCTGCCGCCTTTGCATTCACTTGGCCACAGTGAGTAGAGAGAAGGAAGAAAATAGTCCAAGCTTTAAGAAACGTCCCTGCAAGTGCACTAGAGGACCAGAAACTGTGTATCATATCTATGTGAGAGAAAGGGGAAGGTTTGACATGGAGTCCATTTACCTCAGGTAACTTCTACTTTGATTGGTAATTTTTACTTCAGCCTATAGCCATCAGGTATGATAATTCTATTTCATCAAACTACATGGCAAAGAATAAAAGCTTCCAAAGATAAAGAATATCTTATGATTGTGTTTCATCAGAGTCAGACCATCTGTGACTATTTCCATTGTGGCTGTTGAAATAACACAATGACAAGTCATGATTTTAATGCCAATTGGCAGGTCTAGCAATTTAACCCTGGATGCCCTGAAGGCTGCTGTTGTTTTGAAGTTCACATCCCTGAATCATGTACCTGTGTGGAAGACTGAAAGGCCTGAAGTTATAAGAGGGGGCAATGATTTAAAACTCTACAAAGTATACCCACTTGGGTTGACACAGAGACAAGCTCTTTATACCTTCAGCTTCAAAGGGGATGCTGATTTCAGGAGTCACTTAGAAAGCAATCCTTGTGCCAAGTTTGAAGTCATTTTTGTGTAGCATTTGCTAAATGGTGTCTGTGCTCGACCTGAATTAGCTTTACTTAGCTGAGCACTACTAGCTAGAGTTTTAGGAATGAGTTTGGCAATGAAACTGGCATGGCTTTATTAATGCCTAGTTTCTTGGCCAACTCATGATGTTTATTATGCTGAAGACACCACACCTTAAATTTAAACGCGTTTGTGTACAATTGAAAATCCATATTTAATGCTTAGTTTTAGTGCTTTTATTTGACCTTCTAGAAGTCATACAATGGATATCACGACATTTCTTGTATATGTTGGGTGTAAAACTAAAAATCTAATAGAAGCACCAAATATCAAATGAAAATATTGGAGGAATCATTGATCTTTACTTCATGTTATTCATTTGGTCTGAGTTGTGAAATTATTTACCAAAGGTCCATTATTTCGAGGCCCTCATATCACTCATTTGGTCTTTATGTACTATCATTTATAAGGATTTTAAATGATTTTAAAATTGTTGAGACATGTTTGTTTATATGTCTTTTTGTATTTTTTTTATGTTTAGGTTAGGGTTAAGGATTTTGGTTGATGTTTATATCCTCTCTATTATATCTCCTTTATTTATAAATACAATGAAACAATGTTCTTAGACAATGTATATCATAAATACATTTCTTAAGTTGGTATCAGAACATATAAGATTTCGTATTGATTTTCGGTCATCCCTGTTATCTTCGACTATTGTGGGTTGTTGTTTGCCATTATCGCCTCTGACTATCGTCTTAGTTTGGTTTGATGAAGGTGGGGTTTTGTGTGCCTCGAAGAGCGTGACCTACCCCCTCTAATCGCTCCTCCATATGCGGCCTGACACACTGTCACGCGTAGCTTCTCCAGGAGGAGCTCTCAGGTGTGGGCTCAGGTGTGTGTGTCCCACATGCCGCCTTCTAGTGGTCGAAATCAACGCCTATCACCACTAGTCGACTTATCGGCGTTCTCTGAGTCCAGTGGTGTCCTTACTTTTCTGTTTTGGGAACTTTGGAAGCTAGGTCACGTGGGTAATCCTATTGGTTAGGTTTATCTTTCATCTTTGATTCAGATGACTTCATCCAATGCCTTTTCTTTCTCGCCTACTCCCACCATAACCAGTGTCAAACTCAACTAGAAAAATTATTTATCTTGGTCTGCATCAGTTGAACTGTGGTTTCTAGGTTAGGGGTATCATGACCATTTGGAGAAAAATGTAAACTTTATTTCTACCTCAAAAAGGTTTTAGTGGGAGAAGATGAACTTCCAATTTTGTGCAATCTTATGGTAGTATATGGAACCTGAGGTTCTTGAGCTTCTTAGGTCATTCAAAACTTGTTATTCGTTTTTGGAAAAAAAGGCTCATGACATTTTTGCTAACAATATTCAATATCTCTTTGGTGCAACTCAAAGAGTGACGTCTCTCAAGCAGACAAATCATGACATGATTTCTCACATTGCAAAAGCTAGGGCTGCCGTGGAAGAATTAAAAAGGTTTCTTGTGGCAAATACCTTAGAGGAGTTAAACTCCAAACTGGATAAGTTGTATATGGTTCTAATTTTGAGGAGTCTGCATTTTGATTTTGATCATGTACGAGATCAAATCTTAACTAACGATCAGGTTCCGTCAATGACAAATGAGAATCAGGTAAAAACAGTTGAAACTTCAGTTATGGTTGCTCCTCGTGGTCGAGGGGGAGGACGTAACAGTTGAGGAAGACGTGGGAGTATAAAAGGTCGTCCTCAATGCTCTTATTGCAAAAAGATGGAGTACATGCAGAAAAATTGTTATTCGTTACACGATTTTCCTGACAAGAATACTATTGCCCATGTCTCGAAGTCTGAAGGACCGGATATGAAGATTTTTTATGAGAAGTATAAAGAGTTTCTGAAGATCAAATCAAGAAAATTCAGTAGCTAGGGTCAATCTTTTTCAATGTCAAGTGTTTCAACAACATGTGTTTCTCAATCTGTGAAAGATCAGAACCTATAGATTTTTATTCAAGTGCCTCTTATCATATATCTGGTAATAGTTCCTCATTTTCCTCCATGTTCTATCCTAAAATTCCTTGTCTAATTACTATGACTAATGGATCTAAAGTGAAGTTACAAGGAGTTGACTATGTTCCTTTAACCCCTTATCTGAATTTAAATTATGTTCTTTTCATTTCTTATTGGCTTTATAACTTAATTTCTCGAAATTAATTGACTTGTTCTTTGAATTTTTTTGTAACATTTAATTCCAATTCTTTTGCTATTTAGGAACATGATACAGATCGTCTGATTGGAGAAAGACATGAATCACGTAGTCTATACTATCTGAATCTAAGTCCTTTTGTGTCATATCTTGGTTCTCCTGCTCCTAAACTTTTGCATGATCATCTAGGTCACCTAAGTTTACCTAAGTTGAAAGTGATGACTCATAATCTCAAACATCTTCAGGTTTTAGAATGTGAATCTTGTCAATTAGGAAAACATGTTAGGTCTATCTTTCCTAAACATTATGAAACTCAATGTATTTTTCCTTTTTCAAATATTTATTATGATGTTTAGGGACCAAGTCGTGTCTCTTCATTTGAATTTCGATATTTTGTAAACTTTATTTATAAATTTTTTAGATGTACTTGAATTTATTTAATGAAAGACAAATCTGAACTTTTATCCATTTTTGTGTTATTTAATAAAATTAAAAATCAATTTGGGAAGATAATTAAAGTTCTCATAAGTGATAATGTTAAAAAATATTTTTCAACCTCCTTCTCTTCCTTTTTATCTTCCCACGGTAGTTTACATCAGTCAACTTATCATAACACCCCACAACAAAATGGTATCGCAAAAAGGAAAAATAGGCATCTTATTAAGACTGCACACTCTTTAATGTTGAATGTCAATGTCCCTATTCATCATTGGGGAGATGCAGTCTTCATTGCATTTGTTTTATTAATCAAATGTCATCTTCTTGTCTTCAAAATCAAATTTCAGATTCTCTTATCTTTCCAAATGATCCTCTTTATCATATGTCTCCTTATGTATTTGGTTATACCTGTTTTGTACATAATGTCTCTCCAGGTCTTGGTAAACTAAGTGCTAAGGCCATTAAATGTGTCTTCTTGGGGTACTCTCACCTCCAAAAATGGTACAAATGTTATTCCCATCCAAGATATTATATGTTTGTTGATGTCACCTTCTTTGAGGAAACATCCTTCTTTTCCTCCCTAATGGAGGATGGTTCCTCTATTCAACATGTTATTCCTATACCATCGTGTGGTCCATTTATAATACATAATTCTTCTCAACCTACAGGTCATAATGATTCTCCTCTTCTTCTCATATATCACCGCAGGACCCACCTACACCTTTACTAGTTTCTATAGATAATCGTGATTCAAAACCTTCTCCATCAGCTTCTCATACTATGGATCCTTCAACCTCCTCTCTCACTTCTGATTATGGATGGCCTATTGTACTTAGAAAAGGTATTCGTTCTACTTAGAATCTCTTTCCTACTTATAATTTTTTTTAAGTTACCATCGTTTGTATCCTTCATATTCTTTTTTGTTGTCTCTTTGGCTGATATCATTATTCCTAATACTGTCTGCGAGGCTCTTGATCACTTTGGATGACGACAAACCATGATTGATGGCATGCAAGCTCTTGAGCACATTAACACTTGGGAGCTTGTCCCTCTTCCTCCTGACAAAAAGGATGTGGGTTGTAAGTGGGTCTATACAATTAAAGATGGTAATAATGGTAAAGTGGTTCGTTTCAAAGGTCGTTTAGTAGCTAAAAGCTACATTCAAATTTATGACCTTGACTATTGCGATACCTTCTCTCCAGTAGCAAAGATTTTTACTATTCATTTTTTCCTTGTTATGACTATTATTTGTCATTGGCCCCTTCACCAACTAGATATTAAAAATGTTTTTCTTCATAGTGACCTTGAGGAAGAGATTTATATGGAGCAATCTCTTAACTTTGTTGTTCAGAGGGGGTCTGGTTTAGTGTGTAAGCTACACTGGTCTCTTTATGGCTTGAAACAGTCACCCTGAGCTTGGAAATTCAATCATGTTGTACAGTTGTTTGGCTGGAAAATGTGTGAAGCAGATCACTCAATGTTTTAATATTATTTCTCTTCAGGCAAGTGTGTGTATCTTACGGTTTATGTTGATGATATTGTTATTACAAGCAATAATTATACTAAGATCAGCTAATTGAAGAATTATCTATTTATTCACTTCTAAACCAAAGATCTTGGTCAATTGAAGTATTTTCTTGGTATTGAAGTGGCTCAATCAAAGGAAGGTATGATCATTTCTCAAAGGAAGTATGTTCTTGATATTCTGAAGGAGACAAGTTTAACAAATTGTAAACTCATTGATACTCAAATGGACCTTAGTCAGAAATTGATGGGAGATAAAAGAGAAAAGTTGTCAGACTTAGAAAGATACAGGAGGTTAGTTGTTAAATTCTTGTGTTAATCACTAGGATGCCTTGATTCACATTCTGAGATATGTTAAAGGGGCTCAGGACAAAGATTGTTATATGAAGACAAAGGTAATACTCAAATTATAGGTTATTGTGAAGTAGATTGAGTTGGTTGTCCCATTGATAAAAGATTTACTACTGGGTATTGTATCGTTATTGGAGGGGATTTGATTTCTTTGAAGAATAAAAAACAAAGTGTTGTTGCTCAATCTAGTACAAAAGTTGAGTATAGATCTATGACACTTGCTACATATGAACTTGTATGGATCAAACAACTCCTTCAACAATTAAAAATTTGTAATAATCAGGAAGTTTTCCATATTGCCTCCAACCCAGTGTTTCATGAAAGGACAAAACATATTGAGACTGACTGTAACTTTTATTAGAGAAAAGTTATTATCTAAGAAACTTGTAACTGAATTTGTAAACTTTAATGATCAACTGACAAACATTTTAACTAAATCCTTTAGAGGACCTAGGATTGAGTTCATTTGTTTCAAGTTTGTTACATATAATTTATATGCT